TTTTTATTCAGGTGGTGGCTTTTCTGATTGTATCATAAATGCGTTTAATGGGAGGTGAGGCGTAAGAGGGGTGTGTTTTTAAGCCATGAGCGTTCCTCGGCATCGACTAAAAAGGAGTGGGGCTGCAGTGCCTCTGTGCGGCCAGCGGGTGGTGCTGTGACTGTGGCCCTGGCATCTGGCAGGCAGCGGCTGTTTACTTCTCCAGACATGAAGGCTGTACAGTCCTTGCTCCTGTACTCCCCACTGCGGCAAAATCACTTTTTTTATAGAGAGATTTTTATTTTGTTGATCATTTCTTATTTCGATTGAAGACGGCTAGGGGTTAGGTTCTCTCCTGAACTGCATGAATCACGTGTCCCTGGATTTAAATAAAAATAACAAGGTTTTGTTTTGTTTTTTTAATTTGAGAACTAATTGCTTTAAAGAAGCTACGTGCAGGACTCTTGTGAACCAAGCGAATGCGATTGGGCACAGGCATGAGATCTTGTGAAAGAGGATACTCTTTGGACTTGGGATTGTTTTTTATTTCTGTTCTTTCGGAAGAGAGGGAAGGGGGGGAGGGGGGGATGAGTGGTTGAGACAGGGAGGCCCTCGCTAAAAACAAGGCTTTGTTGTTGTTTTGTTTTCTTCCGAGTCTGTTTATTTTGTATGAGATCTTGTATACAGAATTTGGCTGAACTTTCTAAACTGTCCTGCGTTGTGTGTAATTATACAATACTGTCATTTGCATTTTGTTTTCGATTCACAGGTCTAACTGTATTAAAAATTTCAATAAAATTTACAGAAGAATTTCTGACAAGGGTCTTTTTTCTGCAATGCAGAGGCCTGCGGGTCACTAAATCAGTATGTCTTACATATGTGAAGGCAACAGCAAGTATCCTTATTTGCTTAGCAGATACCCTTATCCACTGTACCTTAGTTTGACAATAAATTTGTCCACAGTGTCTGTGTTCATGGCTGGGTGTGTGTTGTGTGCGTTCGACATTGTGCTCTGTGGGCAAGTGTGTGCGTGTGACTGTGCTCTGTGGGCAAGTGTGTGCGTGTGACTGTGCTCTGTGGGCAAGTGTGTGCGTGTGACTGCTCTGTGGATGAGTGTGCGTGCGACAATGTGCTCTGTGGATGAGTGTGCGTGCGACAATGTGCTCTGTGGATGAGTGCGTGCGACAATGTGCTCTGTGGATGAGTGCGCATGTGACATCGTGCTCTGTGGACGAGTGTGTGCGTGTGACAACGTGCTCTGTGGACGAGTGTGAGTGAGGGTAACTGCTCTGTGGCAATGTTCCCTCCAAGGGAACGTGCACACAGGTTATGAAATTGGCGCACGTAGGAAATTGAACTGCACACAAAAAATTAAAAGAAAAATCATAATGAAACCAACACGGTCATCAATTGAAAACTGCTAGATTGACCACAGGAGACTGGCTGCGAGAGGCCCAGCTCGGCTGTGTGCATTATTATTGCTACTCGATCAGCGGTATCTTTGCTCTCGTCGTCTCGTACCTCTCGGCTCACTCAGTCTCCATGACCGGGCTCATGGAGTCGCCGCTGTCCCCATCTTTTACATCTGCTTCTATGAGAGTGACAATATTGACTAAAAATAATTTCAGGTTCACAATTATACATACACTCAAATTAGTGCACACAAGTTTTTGCCACTGGTGAAATAATTTGCTTGAAATTTTTGCACACACAC